AAAAATGCAAATATTTGCATGCAATGTAAATCTTCCCTACTGGAAATGAAATTCGATTATTCTGTGTTGGAATTTCTCCTTATTGCAAAATAGAATGCTTTTTGTCTGAGTAGAAAAGATTTTAAGGTTATATTTAATTGATTTATTGAATAATATTCACAGATAGCGTAGAAACTTAATTGTAGAAACTTAATTGTATATACATTTGTTGACCAAGGCTTGATTCTGGATGCAGTAAGACTTTTAATTCAATGTGAAGACAATTTGTATTCCTTCTGTTATAGTGACCAGCTTGTTAGACTTTTTTCAGTCATGCCATTGTCTTTGACTTAATTGGTACTTTTAGGTGACTCACTTGAATATCAAATATTGTTAATAATTTTTAATACTTAATTTGAAAACACAAAAAAGTGTGTGCAAAACCCAGTGATAACTCTTAAAGCTATGACATTAATTAACATATTGAAATTATACTTTTCTAAAAAGAAAACTTTCTATGACTTTTTTCCATATTCTGAGATGCATAATTTAGTTGTAAAATGTAGATCTGGAGCCAAAGCAAAGTATAAAATATCTGCAGCAGAGTTAAGCATTCGAAATAGGAAAGAAGTTTTTAATTGCACAGGGGTCTTACCACATTAAAATGCTCAGTGGTTCACTTTGAAATAGTATTTCATCAGTTGTAAAATCTTAACACAGTTGAAGAAAAGGTATAAAAATTTAGTGATAATTACTCATTTGCTCAAAAAAAAAAATCCTTGAATGACTCATTAAAATGAGGAAAATCTGTGTTTTATTTGAACTGATTACTTACTCTGCTTTTTCTTATTTTCATCCTTTTTAAAATAGGAGCCAGTAACACAGCAGATACCTTATTCCAAGAAGTGCTGGGTCGCAAGGATAAAGCTGATTCAACGAGAAACGCACTTAATGTTCTTCAGCGTTTTAAATTTCTTTTCAACCTTCCCTTGAATATTGAAAGAAATATCCAGAAGGTATAATCCTGTAAAATTACTTTTCTGTTTTCTGAAATTAGTCTGATACCTTGTTCTTGACAAATATAAATATTTATTGTTTGTTTGTGTTTGTTTGGTTTTTTTAAAGGGCGATTATGATGTGGTTATTAATGACTACGAAAAAGCCAAGTCACTCTTTGGAAAGACAGAGGTTCAAGTATTCAAAAAATGTAAGATATGGGTTCTGTTATTTGCTTTTTTTTATTTAACTTAAAGGCTAGAAAGCACATAATAGTCTAAAGACCTTGATGAGGGTTTTATATGGATTTTAATCCATAAAAATTATGGATTTATAGGAACCAGTTAGTCTAAGGAGTATTTCTGGAAAGTTTTCTGAGATATATACTACGAAATGTGAAGTCACAGTCAGTTTTGTTTATTTATTAAGGCTTGGCATTACTGGACATAAAAAAAGGTTACAGTAATTAAAATGTGACTTTGGGTATCTCTCACTGGCATATTGTTGAATAGACTTCAAAGTCCAATTTTCTGGTTTTGTACAACTGTCATACACAAAATTTTCAGATGTGGCTTGTTATAACATGATTTACATTGATTTCCACATTAACTCCAGAAGTGTCTAATGTCCTAGAAAAATAACAAAATTTGCATTCCTACTACTGCTAAAGGTACACATTGGATTTGTTTCCTTACTTCTAGATTATGCTGAAGTTGAAACCAGAATTGAAGCTTTAAGAGAACTTCTGTTGGATAAACTGCTTGAAACTCCGTCAACATTGCATGATCAGAAACGTTATATAAGGTAATCATTTGACTATTGTCTTCATCAGACATTACAGTGTTAGTTGTGCATTTAAATCTGTTTCCTAAATAAGATAGTGACTATTTTTGCTATGGTTGAAATACTGATTTTAAAGTTGTAAGTAGAGTATTTTAAGATTTTATGATTATATGAATAATGGCAATGGATTGGTTCTTGATTGTTTATTGAATGATTGAACAACAGTTCTTGAATGAGAACAATTTACGAAGGATAATTGAGATAGAATTTAATTTTTTAGAATCTTTAAGGCATGTTTAAGCTCTGTTGCTTCCTTTAAACCATTGTATTGCAAGCTGTGTCTGAAACGATGACTCGCAGGTTGCAGATCTCAAAATAGATTCCTCATTAACTTGTTTTACACTCTAGCTTGACTTGATGTTGAAATGGAATCATCCTGAGTCAGATAATAGGGAGGTTTTAATCCAGACTGTCATTTAAATTTGGTTTTGGCTCTTTTATTACTCAGTCTAAATAATGTAGTTTCTTTATATTTCATGAACACGAACCGGTTCCCTATTTTCACTGAAATTCCTAGATTCTCTGTCATTCACAAAGCTGATGTTGAAGTCTGTCGTAGGCATACTGACATGAGTTGGTTGGACCTTCTTCTACTGGTAGACTTTAACCTGCTTTACAGTCCTTGGAGCCAAACTTTAGAGTGCTCTGGAACATCTGGTGGCTTTACTTAGAAAGCTTTTGAGTTTTGGTCATTACTGGGGCTCCTAGTGTGGCTTGATGTTCTCAGTGCTTTTTTCAGTTATCTTAAAAGACATAGAGCAACTGCACTGTGTGAGAAACGTTCTTAAAATTCTGACACCATGAGGTCTGCCATGTTTTGTATGCTTACCAGGCCCACTTGCACAAGGCTAAGTGCAGTATTGGTATCTTAGGTCCCTTGACATTATGTTAGTTTGAGGACAGTGACGTTTACGTAGAGTGCTTCTCATTCTTCTGGGTGCTATATAAATATTGCCTGTTTATTGGAATTGCATTTTAAGGTGAGTAGTGAAGTGCTTTGTGTCTCTGAAGAAGGCACTACTGTTTCCTTTCTGTGTTAGTCTTGAAAACCTTGAAGAGCAGCATCTTTATCTAAGCCAAGTCTTGTGATCTCTTCTAAGGATTCTTTGGAAGAATCAAAGTTGTATATATGTTTGATTCTGGGCTCTTTTTTTTTTCCTTCCCCCAGTTTTTCTCTAGCCCTTTACCTTGAAGTATTGAATCTTTAAAAATATAGCCTATTAAACAGCCTATGTTCATGTAACTACCAAATGTATTCCACGTGTAGAACAGTCTAACGAAGGAGAGCAGGGAGTGGAAAAATGTGGAATAATTCAGTTGTAATGAATTAACAGAATTCCATCACACAAAGCAATTAAATTAGTTTCACTACTCTAGATATGCCAATGTGGTTATACTAGTGTTAATTTTCTGGAGGCAAGGTGTGAAGAAAGCTTTCTTCAGAGCACTTCAGCTAAGTGGAAATTAACAAAATCCTAACTGTAAAATTATTTGCGTAAAACCTGCTATTTTTATGAGTTTTTTTCTTCCTTGATATGTTTGGTTTGTGTGTCTCCAATGTATAAGGCTAAGCAAGACCTGAAATACTGTGGTTTTCCTCCTCAGATATTCAATGTTGATCTTAATAATTAGGCTTCAATTCATATTTTTCTCTCATTTTATTATGGTATTTACACTGATAATTGTTTTATGCTGTTAAGAAATGGTTCACCATAGCACTTAACAGCCAAATAAATGTATTTTTTTCTAAGGCCAGTGGTATTTTTTTTTTATTTTGTGTCTGAGGAAAGACTGAAGTCCTCCTTAACTCTGAGGAAGGACTTGAGCTCATAATTTATAAACGTCACCCTGTCAAAATGGTCAGTTGTGTAATGTTCTCATCCATCCAACCAATCCTACTTTGACAGTTTATTTTTTGTTCAAGTAGTGCAGACAGTTCTGAAAGACAATGGAATTTTGCAACACAGTCCTAATTACCATTAGGTGTTATTGTAGTAATACAGCTTTTGTGGAGGACTTAAACACTCCTTCCACTGCTTAAGATACTAAATCAGTGTACTGCGCATTGAGCATCTCGAATTTTTGAACCTGTCCTGAGTCTCATTAATGCAGAATGTAGTGGAGTGCATTAAATAGTAAAGCAGCTACTGTTTTTTGAAAATACCCTTTTGAAAGTCCTGTTCTCAGATAGTCTTGAATGCCATATGTTAGACTGGGTTACTTCTGTGTTCTCTTCCAAAATTGTAACAGCAGGCTTCTAGTACTCCTGTCTTCCCAAAGACAGAGGGTGTTCTGCTTCCACATATTAGAAGCCCTAATCCTTTTCATTATCTCTCCCTTGCCTTTTTGGTTTTTTTTTTAGACTCTGTGTGCTCATCCTAATGCACAAAAAAAACCCCAAACAATCCAAACCCTAAAGAGTCAGGAGCTTGGTTTACATTTGTTTGTGCATGCATGTGCTAAAATTAATGAGCCACCAAAAATTAATTCCTTCTGTATTTAGTGTTAAGATTACCTGATGATACAATCAGGATATATAAAGTGGGAAGAAAAATACTGTATTTTATGTGCTTGAGATGTCGTCACTGATTCCAAGTGAGACGTGAAGTACTGAACTGCAACCTCGGCAGATAAAGTACTTGGTTTCCTAAGTATGTTACTAGAGGCACAGCTGAAAGTATATACTAATGTGATATTAAATATATGTTTTTGTTTATTCCTACAAGTTGTTCCAGTGGAATTTCGCTTCACTAAATGCAGAAGAGAGAATGCAAAGCTTGTGTTTGCGTTGGGTATGACTGTATCTTAGCAACTATTCTTGAATTTTTAAAATTATGTTTTTTTAAAAAAAAAAAAAGGCTTTTCTTAGTACATTTTTGGTCTGCTTTAATGAGGCCTTCAGAGTGTCAAGTCAGAGCTGTGATTTTTGGACTGGCTTTTACAGATATCTTTCTGATCTTCATGCTCCTGGGGACCCTGCTTGGCAGTGCATTGGTGCTCAACATCAGTGGATTCTGCAGCTCATGCACAACTGTAAGGAGAGCTATGTTAAAGAACAAAAAGGCAAGGATATATTTTTGGTTTATTTATATATTTGACACTTAAGAATTTGGCATTGCCTTTTATTTGACAAGTTTTCATGTACAAATGATATTTGGGACTTTTTCCCATCAATTTTGATAGCTTTTTACAAAGTTGAATACTGACTTGTATTTTTTTCTTTATTCTATTATAAAAACAAAAGAGCAAAAAAAGAGCGGTTGGAGTTTTCTTTTTGTTTAACTTTTAACTTTTAACCTCTTTACAAGGGAAAAGCATTAAATTTCAATCATTTATCTGAAGTTTACTGTCCTCTTGAAATACTTCTTTGAGGTCACATGAAGTTTGGATTGTTTTCAGAATCTGCCAGTTGGATTTCTTTGTCACAAGATACACTGTTAGTACATGGATATGCAGAGCATTGGGGCGTAGTGGAGTGATGTGCAACTTCTTGATGTGCAGTGAATGATAAACAAGTGTTCTCTTGTTCTTTGTTGGTGTGTGCAGTTTCAAAATTCAGATTACACTTGTTTGGGCCCACACCTGTGAGCTGGACAAATGGCATGTTTAGACAGTGTTACGTTAAGACCAATATGAATACTTAGTTGTGTCCTATCTTTGTCTTTGCCATTGTTGCTCCTCGAGGAAATGTGTGCTCATAGGTGTTGCTTTCAGGTGTGGCAACAACTTGGCTACCAGTTAACATGATCTGTCTCAAATTAGCCTGTTTTCAAAAGGGAGTGTGTGGGAGGCTATTGGCCTGGTATTTCTAGTAGTAAAATCTGAAAACTGGATTTTTAAATTAGAAAATTACAAGTAGTGCCTTGCTTCTCAAGAAGTCTTACCGAGTTTGCTGTTGTTTCTGAAATGAGTAGGCATGTTGGAATCTGACCTCTCTTGGCTGATAGGTAAGTCCCATGTTTAGTGTCAGTGCATGTCTATCCCAAACCAAATAACGTGTTCTCTTCTGAGAAACCGCAGAAATCTTACTGAATTGGAACTGCTGCAGAACTGCACTGTAAAGTTGCTGCAGGAGGCTTAAACTCACTTGAGCAGTGGTTACATCAGGTGTAGAGTTCACAGGGTGCATCACACATGACAATGATGTCAGTAAGTTTTGGCTTAAAGCGTGCACAGACCATCTTTGTTCCACAACACAGTGTGGAGTGCTGTGGAACCAGCTGGAACACCAGGTTGGTTTCCTGGCCTTTTGGTCAAAATTCAGAACACTTCCAAGACCTCCCCATCTTCCTTCCTTGTCAAAATCGTGAGACCTCACCCCCAACACACAGCTATCAGGAGCACAACTCAATTGTGAAAACAGCCACGGTTAAAAATTCTGAGCTTTCTTTCTCTCTGCTCACTTGCAAAATGTTATGTAGCCATGTCTCAACTTCTTAGCAAGAAAAACAGGGACACGAAGGTACTAAGTGCTCAAGACTTTTTTGTTGTAGTAGTCTGTATAACTCTGATATGCATGCTCCAGTAAATGAATGGGAAATGGGTCTAAATTCCTAGGTTTGTCTTGAAAATCTCAGCCTGTTTGGTGTTTTTCTTAAAACAAATCTGCTTACCTCAGCCTTACTATCAAAGGGACTACTATGTTAGCAGCTTTGTTTGGCTCCCAGAAGAGGGAATTTAAATAACTCAAATGCCCAGTAAATGCATGTATGTATAGTTAATATATTGTGCATATATGAAACAAATGCTAATGTATTGTCACTTTTATTAAAGAGCTTATCAAATTTCAATAGCTTTCTTCCAGCCTTTTATGTGGTCTTTACAATCTGTACCAGAACTACATTAGTAAAATAATCAAGAATTGATCCTAGTTGATGGAATTTCTCACTTAGTATCTAGTAGGACAAAGGAAGATTGCTAAAGGTGTTTTTTCCTTTCCATAGATCTTTAATTTTGGCATACACCAGACAAGAGAAGGAAAAAAAGAAAACTTGTAAGAACTGGTATTAACTGCCAAGTAGAACAATGCTGATTGTAATCAGAGACATGGAATGTGTTTTAATCTGCATTAATAGATGTATGCTTTTCAAACAGGCAAAGTGTGGGCTTTTACTCATAGATACTAAATTGGTTATGCAAGGCTTTGAGGAATCTAATCGACTTAAACAAGTCAGAAACCTGGTATATGTGTTCATGAATTCACAGACTATTTTTAGGAGGAAATAGTAATAAATTTTCAAACATTGGAGTCCTCTACTTAAAACATGCTTCCAAAAAAAGATTATTTTGCAATAATTATCAAGCATTGATTATATCAAGCATTTGGAAGAAGAGGTGGCTCATAAGGTTGATACTTTAATGAAAAGGCATTAAATCTTTTTCCCTTTTTAACAGAGATAATAGACAGATGGTAGTCTTCATATTGCATATGCTGGAATAGGCAGACAGCAATTACAGTTCCATCTTGAACATACCAACAATTTCTGGCTGGTCTTAGCTTAGTTCTGCTGCTGACTGTGAATCTGTGGGTTCAAACTGACTGAGTCAAAACTTTACAGTGTAGTAAACTTAAACCTCAGTAGCAGATTTTTATCTATTTTTTTATTTGTGCAAAATTTTTCAAGTTGCAACTGAGTGTGTGCCAAAACATTTTGCTGGTATTTTATTAGTTTTCAATGCAGAGCTGTGCCTTGAGTCATTACACATGGATTTTACTACCTAAAATGGATTTGAAATTAGACAAAAGCCTCTGCTTTTCTTACCTGGAAAAGTCTTTCGTGAAAACTCATAAGCATTCTGGACAAGATTTTTGTAGCTGATTGTCGAACAGTAAATGCTATCAAAAAATTTATTTGCTGGACATGATGTATTCAGGAAAGGAAGGTATGGGTTTTAGCTTGTTTAGCAAATAATTGCAATATTAACCTAAATGAATGCTAAGGAGAACTTACTCCAAATTCGGTCACTGGTATGACAGCCAACAGTGTACTTACTCTCAGTGGGACAAAATTCTTCCAGTTGTAGTCACTGGTATGACAGCCAACAGTGTACTCTCAGTGGGACAAAATTCTTCCAGTTGTCTCCATACTACTAGGAGGATGACACTTAAGTCATTACAACTATAATTTAATTTTCTTATGTAGAAATAGCATCTTCTCCTGTCTTCTTTGAGAGATTTAGTTGACATATCATCTCATTCAGGCCACTAGTAATGGCAGTCAGGACAAATCTCCAATATTGATAAGAAGTAAATCTACCTTTCTACGTAGGTTCCTTGTCTTTGTCTGATGACTGTTCTCTTGTTAATAATTATACTTTCAAGGCTCTCCTAAGTGAGAAGTACTGAGTTACTTCACTGAGTGAAGTAAGCTAATACAGATGCCGAGGTGGTTGAAGATGCTATCAGAAAATTGCATATTAGGGATGTATTTAAATACATGTTTACTTTTGTTTTATATCGAAGTATATATTTTTGATCTGAACATGAATCCTTCACTCTCAGTAGTACTATCACATGAAAAGTTTTTGAAAAAAACAAAAGTCTCTGAGCTTGGATATTACTAGAGATTAACTCCATTTTGTAGAGTACTTTGCAGTTGTAAACATGTCCTAAAACTGTAAAGTATCGTAGCATAATACAACCTCTGATGCAGCCTGAAAGAAACTGTGGCAAGTTTACAGGGCTGTAATGGTCTCTGAGTTCTCTCCTGGAATTTATTTTGGGGTTAGCAGAAGTCCTGTCTGTTTTCAGTTAATCCAACTTGTGTTAATGTTATTTCCAAAACCTGAAAGGTATATCAAGCTGCACTAAGCTTTGTCGGATAATTTGCAGTGTGGCTTAAAAACTGACAACTACCCACAGTAAATTATTCAATTGGCTGTTTCCTTTGATTTTAATAGACAGTTATTAATCGTAAAAGACGCAGTAATCTGATCATTAGCCAATTAGTTGCATTTACTTCAGCAGGTACAAGTAGGATGGGGGATTTTCTCAAGTCCTGTGTTTGAAGTACTTTACAGCAGCATTTTGGAGTGTATTTCTCTTGGGGAATATCTCTGTGTATTAACATACTATTTCCCCTCAGTCTTAAACAACACTGTTTTGCTGATTAATCTTGAGTTATGTACATTAATGTTTCATTACATGCTCAGATACAGCTGTCATTATTCACCTGTCATTGCCTTTAGCCTGTCTCTTGCTCTGTGTAACCAGAGCAGACCTTCCTCATTTGTGAAATGAAAAAAATGCAGGCAGGTGATGCTCATATGATGAAAAAAATGCAGGCAGGTGATGCTCATATGATGAGAAACTGTCGGAATTCAAGTCCACAAGTTTTAAGGAGGAAGTGAATACACGTATATGACAGCAGATCAGAATTTCTCCTGCTCTGAAGTATGAGCTTCCAGGACAAACAGACCAGACAGCATAGCCAAATTTTAGTGGAAGTACGAGGCAGTACAGGGGATGGCCAAGTCATAAAGCTCCCATGCTCGGGCACTTACATTAAGCCATTTTCCTGCTTCTCTGACGGTCAGATTTTCCATTAAAGATGCAACTTGTAGATACAGGACCCACGTGCAGCTGACTGGAGCTCTAGCTCTGCTGACATAGTAATGCTTGTAAATATATGGATTTATTAACTTTTTATGTTTTCTGTTTAATGTTTATCTGCTTTACTAATGGAATAGGCAGTTGTGCTCTTTTATCGTTTTCGAAACTTTTTTTTTATTGTTATGAAGTTATTTCCTGAAACATCGATGGATTCCTTTTATAAATCTGATCACTTCCCACTATTGCTGCTCACTGGAAGGACCCAAAGTAGATAAAACCAATTTGCTTCTGTTACTTAGTGTATAGATACATTAGAGAGAGGGAGATGCATGAGACTGACTAGGCAAGAAAAAGAGCGTTTTTGAAGACTGTGAATATAAGGCTTAACATGGAAGAACACTATTGCTCACTCAAAGCAGTATTTCTTAGATCTCTAGCAAGAGATAATTGAGCCATAATTGTGCTGGTATTTTCTGCCTTGTGTTGGGTAAAGTCTGAATTACTTCTTCTG